AAATATATTTTATGTACTACTCAGGCGTTTCCATTATTTTGTCTAAATCCTATAAGTAAGCCGTGCATGTGTGCCCCTCTCGTAAGCCTTCATTCACATGCGAGCTGAAAAAAAGCTTTCGATAAACTTGACAGGTACTGTGGCACATAATACCTGGAGTTATCATAAACGTAAGCCACTTCGTCGAAGTTTTACTGAGTGGCCAATATGCGTTCGAGGTCCCAGTAAAGGCTTGGTCCACGCACGCGATCATGCATGGGTGACGAAAACGTGGCCCCTGGTTCAAGGCCCCCTTTAAAAATTCTAATTAATCTATCATTAGCTTATGAATCTTCTATATGCAGATTTTCCTGGAAATGCTTGTTTCTCTTTCTGTACTCAATTGAACTGTATTTTTCAGCGAATTTAAAATTTGTTAGCTCCTATAGTTTTTTTATTTGTTTGCCAGAGATTTTATTAGTAATATAGTTCATGTTGTTGTACCTGAACGACCTGGATAAGGCTTTGCTAACGGCTCTTATCTTGACAAGCTGCTCACTTGAAAGCCAATCAAGAAGTAAGCTTATTGCAGGCACGCCCAAAACGCCTCTATATTTAGGCCAGAGGTCAATTGGTTTGGACAAACTATGAATATATTTAGGTATGATATGGATATGAGAGCACCGGGGAAGATGAGCTACTCTCTTTCATCTCTTGTTATCCATGCATTTTGCGAATAGATGAATTGTTGAATTGCCTCATGAACAGATGAATTGTTTTCGCATTTTATTTTCAAAATGGAAGATCTTTGCGTAATTCTTCTAGAATCTGACTAAAATTGTATTGGTACGTGAACCTTTATACAGCGGGAATTAAACAGTCCTGTGCCGCTCCACCATCGTTAATAATCTTGCGTGATAGTATAGGTATCGTGAAATGGTGTATTCCCTTGATATAAGATACTTCTATATATTTATTTTGTTTGACGTCGTAAATTATTCTTTGTAAGAAGTAATACTATCTCTACCAAAACATTGCAAAACTGCCGTCACGGAACTCACCTCTATACCTGCGAATTTTCATTACCTTCACATAAAATACGAGAATAGATATTTGAATATCTCCTCTGTAACAAACTGAACTTTTCATTGCCTTCCTATATGTACTCATGCTTCTTAGTAAACTGCGTTGTTGCTCAATTCCCCTAAAAACGCTTCACCGATGAATAATTCGACCTGTACCTCAATGCAGAAAAAATACTTATTTTTATAATATATGGCGACTTGCCGCTCCTCCCTTAGTCCCTTACACATTAACACAGCATTAATTTTTGTTGGTAATGGCTTGGACGTTATGCAATGTACCGACCTTTGCCCCTTGTCTTGCCCTTTGTTTTACCTCCATGCACGAACCCTATTTTAATATTCAATTGTAACCCGGATACCCCTGCCTGTTGTATAATTCATACTCGACATGTACACCGTGTTGTAATAACTCTTCGGTCATCGAGTTTTAAAACGCTAACAAGGTAAGTATTGAAGCTCTATTACCATTTGCATGCGTGTTTCTAATCTTGACAAGCCATTTGGCAGAGAATGAGTTACCTCCTGACCACACTGAATGTATAAACAAACATCTCTCCTCATATCCCAACTTTTGTCAGCGCCATGGCTGCATTCAGTTTACTTAATTCATTACTTGAGTAGCTCTTAAAACAAAACGCTTTTGGATGTTATCGTCATATTTCGTCCGCTTATTAAAATACCTTCCTGTTGATCATCTGTCACACTCAATGGCTCAATTGTGATGTATTTTGCTCTGGAATTGAAGGCTATATAGCATCGTTCCTAAACTTCTTGCTGCAACAAATTTCTCCTAGCTCGTGATTACAGAACATTGAATGCGTGTTGTGTTTAAGCAAGCTGATAAACATTGAGATAATGATACGTGGCTCTTCTAAGCTGCAACTTATTCATTCTGAAGTACTCGAACGTTACCTGTCGATTTTGTACCTTGTCAAGAAGCGGTATTACACATGGCCTAAATATATATTTTATTCATCATATAGATGTGAGAAAATGTACAGAAGTTGTTAGTCATTGACTCGATGTAATGTTTTTCCGTATTATCTTTTTTTATTTTCTTAATTATTCACAATTCTCAGCCGGATTACCAACAGGACTGAATGACATCAATATTAATCCAAATCGGGATATTTCTTTAAAAAAATTGAACTTGTCTGCTTCATGTCACTGAAATTAATTTTTACTTAACTCTACACTGTGCACGTAATTAGGACTTTTTTTATAGATATCCTACGACCTCGACTCGCACGTCGCGTTGTGACCTCAAAGCTCCTCTTCCTGCAGTCCTGCTCTTGTTTTTTCCCGTATTTTTATGTATCAGTTGTCTCGCTTAGCAGACATCTCGCCTATCTTGCCAAGGCATCAAGTTTCGTTAAAATTTCCTTGTTCTAAAATCTAAATAATTGTAATGAAAATTTGATACTGAAATTATTACATTGCACCGCGTGTGTATAAATGTATAAATACAATTACATTTTGGTGGCTTTCACGCATTTGTGATTTGTTATGAATCTCAACTAATTTTTTTGTTTTTTTTTTGGAAATTTTGTTCGCGACATTGTCCGCACAAACGCTGTTTCATCGGCAATCCAAAACTAACCTAGTTCAATAATCAATTTTTTATTCATACAGCAAAATAAAAAAAAATAGTACAACTGCAGTTTAATTTCGAAATATCTGCCAGTATTGAGCAACCTAGAGTTCCCTAAGCCGCGCCGTCAACAGCTTGCGTCGTTCACTGAAATGCTACAGTTTCCCAGGACTCGTGCAACGCAGTCACCTTCCTGCCGCGTCAAATGTTAATCACCGATGCAGGCCTTGTAAAGGTCACCTGGTGTACCCTTGTGTTCATAGCTCTGCTCTCTATCTACTTAACTGAACACTGAAGCAAAGTAACTTTCTTCTCCCAAACAAGTCTTCCTCTTTAGTTATTGAATTCCGGGCAAACATTTCAGTTAATTCCTTCCTATTTGAGAACTGCATCACACATTCACATATATGAATGGGTGTTATTGTCCAAATAGTGATACGCATTCTTGCTCACAGTACGAACAAATGATGGACGTAGCACTGATTCGCCTTAGCCAGGTCAAACTGCGTCAGGATGACCCACACTAGAGCAAAAGGTGCATCGCTATTAGGGCTAAGTTTAGCCCATTTATCCAAGAGCAGAACATGCTTGTGGACGTGTGTATCAAGGCGTCACTAATTGATGGCTTATCATCCGACGTATCCGGATAACAGACGCAAATTTACAATATATTTGAGCTGAAGTTGGCACCAAAAAAGAACTCAGTAGCTGGCCGTAAATTTCGCCTGAATCCTAGCGAATAATTCGCTGATATGGAGTGGATCGACAATATTTAAATGGAGACCGGTTACGTCTGATAAGCTTTTATTTTCATGGCTGCGAAACTATAGTTTTAGGAGTTCGTTAATTCAAAGCAAATGATAATTTTTCTTTAGTTAATTATGATGTCGTGCATCATTTTTTTACGTTCACCCGTTAGTTAGAGTTTCAGTGATGCTATTGTAGCTCAACAAGAGTTTGTATAATAGAATTGGCTTTTGGTGAAGTGCAGTCTTTGCAGGTGAAGTACAATTAAACCAAATATCATTAGCACTCGGTGGACAATTTTATCAATGGAGGAATAAGTTTATTTTTTAGTTCAATGACGTTCTGGGGCATCAATTTGAAATATTTTCCTTCTGCAGTGCGACTCAAAAATATTTTAAATTTTTCATTCAAAACGATAGTTTTAATTTCGATCAATTCCTTTTCAGGAGAATGATCAAGCTTTACTAAAAGTTGTTCGTGTACTTTGATGAAAGTGTGTGAAATTAACGTTTTTCTATCCTCTGTTGGGCTGCTTCCAACTAGATCTTGTTTCGAAGCAACCACAGAGTTACGTGCGCGTTATTAATACCCATTTATATTTTCCGTTAATTTGACCCTGCTGTGTGCATCGCAATGCATTGAAAGGTTATTTCACATTCGCTACATGAAGTTATTGCAGCGCGTCTCGGAACGATGATCAAATCTTTCGCTAGCCTATTGTTGTGAAGCCAGCAAGCTCGTTAAGTCGAACGTGGGGTGTCATAGCTGTTATTTCGTGTCGTTTGAAAAAGTTTCATCGAAGAAGCAACTGACTAGAGCCCACTATTTCTTTATAACATCTTTTTGGTCTGATTTATATCGTGTGCATGCTAATTGTGGCTAAGCCGGCCATTGTTTAGCTGCTTATTTAACATCCGAATTGTCAATACCTGAAAGAGTATGCTGTTAAATTTCTCTCCGACAATGAGTTTCTTTGCTTCCGTGTCTTCTATATTATTCACCAGCCTTCTAGTCAGTTGTATTACTCACACTGCTCCCCTTGTTATCAGTGACAATCCACTCTTTTGTGAGGTGAAATGTGCAAGTCATTGCAATTTCTCGATTTTGATGTATTGATTATTTGACGTATTTTTTGGAGATAAAATTAATCACAGTTTCGATTCGATTCGAAGCTCATGTCCCTGAATTTGAATTCACTCAGCCTTAAGTATATCGTACATGGCCTTAAATATACCGTAATTTGAGTGAAGTTTGTCATGATTAGTCTGAATTTGCTGGTAATTCACGAAAATTGCCTGACATTGCTGGTAATTGTCGTAATTTGTCTGCAATTACTGGCAATTCACGTTATTTGCCTGAAATTACTGGAAAGTCACCTAATTTGCCCGAAATTACTGGTAAATCACGTAATTTGCGTAAAATTGCTGTTAATTCACGTTATTTGCCTGAAATAACTGGTAATTGTTGCAGTTCGCTTGAAATTACTGGTAATTGTAAATTACGGGTAATTTACAATTACACTTTGCTGGTAATTCACGTAATGTACCTGAAATTTCTGAAAATTGACGTAATTTGCCTAAAATTGCTGGTAATTGCAGAGCTGTGCCCAGACTGTGCGGCGTACTACAGCAACAGGTCGGCGTGCTACATGATGCTCGGCAGGTACAGAGATGCCCTCAACGACGCTCAGCACGCCGTCGCTCTCGACCAACACTTCGTCAAGGTACGACACCACTTCAACAGCTCGTCTCTACTGGAATTTGTTTAGTAATATATCGTAATCACTAGATATATACTGTATTTTTATATACCTATGTTACAGCGAATTTGTATGCTCGATAGTAATGCATCGTTGTCGCTAGATATAGGCTGTATTTTTATATATGTTACAGCTGCTCTTGCCTGAGATTTTTTCATTTTGTATGGAATATGACGTTGATGATGTAGGGTTATCGAAATGTTTAGAAAATCTTCCATCTGATTAAATGACTGAAACTGACTCACCTGACTTACTGTTTAATATCATGCGTCTTCACCATGAATGAATTCGGCACTATAAAATTATCTTGCTCGTTGGTCTCAAACTAGCATGCTGCCTGCTAGTTAGTCGCCTAACCTGCAAATAGACGCCTACTTACTTAAAATAACATGCTAGCAGAAGCCTTCTAAGGGTACGCACACAGTGGAAGCAGGTTTGCCCGCGCGGGCAAACCTGCTCTAACCTGCCACAAGAATGAACATATATAGGATAATAATGTAAGTGTTTACAGTGAAAACCTGTACGAATAGGCTTCTGTGTTCTATGGTTTCAGGCGCCAGCCTGAGCAGGTAACCAGCACACTGGCAACCTGCTTTCACTGTGTGCGTACCCTAACGTGACTAACCTGCTAGGAGAATCCTGCCTACTTGACTATACTGCTAGTATAAGTCTGATATCTCCACTTACAAAAAGAAGACTTCTCGATTCACCTTGTAAATATACGTATGATTAAATGGTTGCGCAGGGTTGGATCCGCGTGGGCAAGTGTCACGTGGCACTGGGTGACGGTGTGGTGGCACTAAGCGTGCTACGCCGCGCTCAGGACATCGAGCCCAGCAACTCTACAGTGCATCAGGAGATCGCCTCTGCTCAGGCGCTCCTTACATGCGTCAGGGAGAGCCAAGACGCTGCCACCAAGAGCGACTACAGAACTGTTAGTTGATCGTGCAGTAGTTTATATAAATGGCATTAAATATAATGATTACAGAAGTGCCAGTTGATCATGCATTTTTACATTAAGTCTAACGACTGCAGAAGTGTCAGTTGATCAGATCGTGCATTAGTTTTTTTTTGTAATTGACATTAAATCTAATTCTTACAGAACTTTTATTTGATCATGCATTTTTACATTGAGTCTAACGACTACAGAAGTGTCAGTTGATCAAGCAATGGTTTCTGCATTAAGTATCTTCCCTCTAACTCTTAATGTCCGATGTACTTGTATTGGCATTACATCTCATTTTTAAGCCACCATTTCCAGAACTGTAAGTTGATCTCCCATTTCTTCACTCAGCAATATCTGATTATGAATGCTAATAGTTTCTTTTCTAATCTAGATCCTAAATTTTAACGTCACGCAAAGTATTGATATCCTAACCATTATTTCGCTTCTAAAATGTCAAAACCGTCAATGAATATACGTATACTTGCTTTGCATTTTTAGACTACTAATTCTAACGGTAGTTCTCGTTAATCAGCCTTAAGATTGGAATATCATCGAGGACGGTTACTGTACACAATGAGTTAATAATTTGTCACTGTTAACGTTAGATTGTCGTGTACCATTTGAATTAATCAAAATCGTCATGGTTTCTTCATGGTCGCTTATGCTGGTATTACCCTATATAGGAATTGCATTGATGACGATTGATGTATCCATACGTAAATAGGTTAATAATTTTTCTCTTTTAATATTAATTCTTTATTCTTGGGGATTGTTTTATTTTTAATATCAGAGCTTGTCTGCATTTCGTCGCGTCCGGTAATGTTTATGTCTCGGCAGGCACTAATGGCGTCACTGACCTTAATTCGTCAATAATTCGGCCATTAATTCTTCAATAACTCGGCCACTAATAGCACGACCACCACCAATTCGGTGACCGATTCGCAGCCACTAATGGCAAGGCCACTAGTGTCGTTACGGCCGCTTAATCGTCAATAATTTGGCAACTGATGGCACGGTCTCTAATGCTGGTGTGTGTGCAGGCGGTGTTCCACTTGGACCAGGCTCTGCGCTACGCTCTGGGCGGTCTCGAGCTGCGCATCACCAAAGCAGAGTACCTCACATTCCTGGGACGCGCCTCCGAGGCTGAAGATATCGTCAAGTCAGTCGTAGATACGGCCTCATCCAGGCTAATATTACGCTCATTTTTATTATTAAGCAGCTGTTGTGTATGCCGTTATATTATATATCCCAGCCATACCCGGCCATTCCCAGCCAGTACCTCACATTCCAGGGACGCGCGTCCGAGGCCGAAGATATCGTCAAGGCAGTCAGAGACACGGCCTCATTCAGGCTGATATTTTACTCATTTCTTGTTGTTTCCACGGCATGAAATTACCATTCACTCATTCCTTGTTATATTGACTGACATAAAATTAACATTTACTGATATATATGTAGTTCAATTATAGGAGAGTATTATTATCTTTTGCTGATGAATTGAGGCTTCAATTACGGGAGTGTAAGCTTATCATTTAACTAACGGATTGATTCTTCAATTAAGGTAATTAAGCATCACCAATAAATGAACAGTCCAGCATGCAGGCAGTGGAGAGTAGAAAGCATCATTGTCCCTAAATATTCAATGCAATTTGTCGTGCATTAATCCAGGATTCGAGCGAAATCGTAACGGTCGTGAATTAATTTCTAACCGCGAACATTGTGCATAAACTTTTGTTGTGACTGTGTCAGCCGTCAACCCCCTTGCGTGAGCTCAATTATCGATTATGTATATCCATTCTTGTCTGTGTTGAGACTGAAAATGGATATTTAAGTTGTGTTTTATAATGACTGACTTATAACTATTTTCTCTCATTGTATAAATAACACGAAAGTTCAAAAGGAACTAGAGTTTTTATTTTATATATTTTCATTTTATTTCGCACTTTTATGGGTGGTTCTTTGATGCTGATGTTCATGCGGCATTGAATTTGAAACAATTCTGTTAGACTGTTCGTATTAAGTACTGTTAAATGAGCTCGTCAAGGTTTAGGAGTCGAGTTAACTCTCAAGTTAATCAATTAAGACAAGCTCTTATTTACCTACTAATTGACTTGCCTTGCTGTCCTCAGTGACATTCTAGTGTCGGACAACAACCACGCGGACGCGCTGTACGTGCGGGGGCTGTGCCGCTACTACCAGGACAACCAGGACGCCGCCTTCCAGCACTTCCAGAAGGTCTTACGGCTCGTGCCTGACCACAACAAGGCCAAGGAAACTTACAAGGTCTGCTGTTATTACAGTAAAACTTGCTACCTCAAGTGCAGTGGATCACACGTTTATTGTTGGCTGAAATTATCTCAACGTTGGTTGTTCAATTTACGTCACGAAATTATTCGATTTAGGTAAAAAGTTTTGTAGAAGCGAAGGAAGTGCCTAGAAAGTTCATTGTACTGTGTTGCGAGAACCGGTGCGTGATCAAACTGAGCTCATATTGTAACTCCCATACCGAAATTACTGAGCTATGTAAGCATGTTAGCATCTAATTCTTATTTGTTTATTTATTCTCATTGATCATTTAATGAACAATTTTTAGTCACTGTATTATTAAGCAAACTTGGTTACTTGTCCAACATACGTTATAAAAGAGTTTATTATTTGCTCCATTTATGATTTTGCTGGACCCTCGATGAAGCAATAATTTAATCTACCGACGAGAAATTGTACAGAACTGACAATAACCCCTAAAACATTGCCGGTGTTGCCATGCTGACCTTCCTCCTCATTTTCCTGATTTAATCTATATCCTATAAATTAATGTTATTATGTTTGTTGCAGCGGGCGAAGTTGCTGAACCAAAAGAAAGAAGAAGGTAACGCAGCGTTTAAAATGGGCGACTTCGCTCGTGCTTATGACATTTACTCGGAGGCTCTCAAGATCGACGTCCTCAATAAGAACACCAACTCGAAACTTTATTGCAACCGCGCCACAGTCGCTGCCAAGGTGCGATTTTAGTTCTTATATTCAACTTCATTTTGTTAACAATCTCCTAATAATTCGTATCTTTATTTGGTTTATAATGATTGATACTAGAGAAGTAGCTTTCTGTACTATTCATTTGATTTCATTTAAATTCTTAATTGGTATTGACTGTCAATAATGAGTAGCTGAGAGCACTGCAGCATCATGGAATCCTCGACAGGAGACGTTGAAGTGATGCATATTGTCAGTTGTTGATTGCCAAACTCTCTGTCTGAAGTGCAACGCTCAATAGGGCTTATTTTCCACACCAATGATGTACAGTTGTGGTGGCTCCCTTGCACAAAATTATCTTTCATATTAATGCAATGGACAGAGAATGACCATCCTCGCGTTCTGGCGCTCTAGTTGTGACGTTCTGAATGTAACCATTTTAATTAATGCAGTGTTCTTGTAGCGGCTTATATGGAAGATAGGATGTAACATTTTTCATGCGAGGAATTTAAAAGCAAAGAAAACGCCAAGAAAATTCATCATATCGATATTGAAAACGTTTTCAATATCAATATGGTGTATTTTCTTGACGTTTTCTTTGCTTTTAAATTCCTTGTGAATTTGCGATATAAGCCGGACTGATAATATAAGTATTTTTCATGCGATGTTATTCATTTTTTATTTTGGATTTTATGTGGTTTGAATGATAAAGAATTGGTGTTGATGGCTCGTAACAAATCAATACAAAGTATAAAATAAATTTGGATTTTCCAGTAACGGTGCAATTAGTTTTTTTGTTTTACTTAAGGCTTGTCAAGCATGACCTTTTAATGTATACCGTAAAATGGGGTAACTTAGACCGGCGGAGTAACTTAGACCACTTTTCGTTTTTTTAACAAAAACCCCCACAACTCAAAAACTATTTGACATAGAAAAATTTTGTCAATGGGAATTAAAGGCCTAATACTGAGGCCACATAACACAATAGAAAAGATTTGAAAAGTTTGCATATCTAATAGGTTAAAAAATTAAAAATGTGACCCATGAAAAAAAGCTATTATTTAAAGCCTGTCAGAGTACCCCCTCCAATTTTTTTATTTTTTGGTTAAATAACTCCAGGTTTTGATGCATTGTAGTACATTTGCAAACTATGACACTTTCCTCAATTTTGTCATTTGCATATGTAACTAGAAGAGTTCTACTACAATGCACCAAAACCTGGAGTTATTTGGAGTTATTTTACCAAAAAATATAATTGATTTTACCACCCGGTCTAAGTTACCCCAAGAGCTGGGGTAACAAATACCATCACTTTTTTTGAAATTACATAAAGACTATGAGAGGCAGGAGCCAGCCATTTATGGTGAGTGAAGCTAGAGTATAGACCTGTATTTTGCATGATTCAATTCCAGTTTAATTTAGCTAGTAAAAAAATTGCATCATTTATAAAAAAAAAGTGGTCTAAGTTACCCCATTTTACGGTACCTACAATGTTATGTTCGCGAGAAATTTGTTACTATTATTTGGCTATTTTGTACGAGTGTTAATTCGCAGGATTACTTTGAAGATCTTTACTCATGAAACTTTTACAAACGCCGAAATTTAAAGCAAGTCAAGGTCTGCCATCTGTATAGTGTTTGTGTCTTGTAAAGTCATCCTACGTCTGGAACTCACCCTGTATTGTATTTCGTGATGTCCTGACACTGTAACTCGCCCTGTATTGTATTTCGTGATGTCCTGACACTGTAACTCGCCCTGTATTGTATTTCGTGATGTCCTGACACTGTAACTCGCCCTGTATTGTATTGCGTGATGTCCTGACACTGTAACTCGCCCTGTATTGTATTGCGTGATGTCCTGACACTACCTTACTCTGTATTGTATTGCGTGATGTCCTGACACTGTAACTCACCCTGTATTGTATTGCGTGATGTCCTGACACTGTAACTCACACTGTATTGTATTGCGTGATGTCTTGACACTGTAACTCACCCTGTATTGTATTGCGTGATGTCTTGACACTACCTTACTCTGTATTGTATTGCGTGATGTCCTGACACTTTACCTTACTCTGTATTGTATTGCGTGATGTCCTGACACTTTACCTTACTCTGTATTGTATTGCGTGATGTCCTGACACTTCAACTCACTCTGTATTCCTCCCGCAGCTCGGGCGGTTAGAGCAAGCCATCAGCGACTGCACGGCAGCGCTGCAGTTGGACGACAGTTACGTGAAGGCTTACCTACGACGCGCCAACACGTACCAGCAGACCGAGCAGTACGAGGAAGCCGTCAGGGACCTCGAGAAAGTCTACCGCATGCAACGCAGTCAAGGTCTCGTCATAACCGGCGTCTCATTTTAATCGTCTGTCAAATTCAGTCAATATCTGTCCGAGCAATTAAAATCTGATTAATTATTTAAACTAGATCCAAGAGTTGAGATTTACCGATGGAAAACTGAATTGCGATAATATGTGCGTACGGATTTTTCTATGGAATGATAATAGTTTGTCTGGGACGTTATCATATTGATTGAAATGTTCAGATGAACGTTCGGGTAGGCATAAATATAGGCATCTATCGATATATCTATGCCTACCGGGCAAAGGTATCTATCATGTATAGATGCCTATTTTCTTTCACCGGTTTCTTAGTGTATGAGTTTGCGAATTTTTGTGAAAGTGGTTTCTTCATTGCTCTAATCAATGAACGGAAAATGAAATATATTCAGATCAAAGAATTTCGGATTAATTTTTAGAAGAGAAATCGATTTTCAATAGTTTTCAGGCGTAATAATTTTCAAGTTCGTGTTCAATTTACCATGCTTATAGCAAAATTGAGCATATATTGCTTTTATTTTGGTTTATCTTTTAATAACTTCTCATTGTAGCAACATTATGTTATTCCAATTAAGAAAAACCTTGTGTACCTCTTTTAATGCCGAGTGTGAACGTATGGAATAAAACCACATGTACCTCTTTTAATGCCGAGTGTGAACGTATGAAATAAAAACCACATGTACCTCTTTTAATGCCGAGTGTGAACGTATGGAATAAAACCACATGTACCTCTTTTAATGCCGAGTGTGAACGTATGGAATAAAACCACATTTACCTCTTTTAATGCCGAGTGTGAACGTATGGAATAAAAACCTTACGTACCTCATTTAATGACGAGTGTGAAGTATGGAATAAAAACCTTACGTACCTCATTTAATGACGAGTGTGAACGTATGGAATAAAAACCTTACGTACCTCATTTAATGACGAGTGTGAACGCATTCCACCAACAGAGCACAAGCGGTTGCTGCACGAGGCCAAGACGCAGCTCAAGCGGTCCAAGCGCAAGGACTACTACAAGATCCTGGGCGTCAGTAAAACTGCCTCTGACGATGAGATTAAGAAGGCTTACAGAAAAATGGCTCTACTTCATCACCCTGGTGCGATTATTTCTATTTGACTCCATATCATTCCTCGCCTTTCTGTCATAATTGAATTATTATTTTATGCCCTTGGTAATAATTGATGTAGGTATTAATTTTTTATGTTTGGGATTTGTTGTAAATCTGATTAATAGCTTGTGACAAGCGGGTGAACATTTTTTGTGTAACGTGCACAGAAAGCGCAAGAAATTATTTCAATTTTAATTATTAGAAATTATTATGCAAGAATTTATTATGCTATTTTAATTAATTACTTTCTAAATAGAAAGTAATCACCGTTCGTCGTTGGCACAGGTAGCATCACAAACTAGGATGCGCAAATTTTATCTGCTTTTACTAAATTTTTAATTTACCTCTACATGTGCGTAATTAAAATATAGCAAATTACCTGTGTGTTTTTCTGGGAATCTTGCATTTTTGGAAAATATATTGCACGTGTATACAAAATAGCATGCATCTCAAAAAAATAATAAAAAGTTTTCGCTCCCTTCTTATTGTTCTGGTTGTGCTGCAGATCGTCACTCGAGCGCAAGTGCGGCGGAGAAGGCTGAGCACGAGCGTAAGTTCAAGGAGCTCGGCGAGGCTTACGCCGTCCTCACCGACCCCAAGAAGCGCGGCATGCACGACCGCGGCCAGGACGTCAACGATCCTGACTGTGGCGGCTTCAGGGATGCTGGTGAGCCTTTATAATTATCTTTGATTATTATTGCACCATATTATTTATTATTGCACCTTGTGCTGAGCGCAAAAATTAATTGAAAAATAGGTTATGCTTAATCATTGCACCATTCATCTTGAGCTGAGTGTAAAAATTCATTGAAAATGGGTTATGCTCAACACCATTGCACCATTCATCTCGAGCTGAGCGCAAAAATTCATTGAAAAATGGGTTATGCTTTACAATTGCACCATTGAACCAAATAGTATATGACTATTTTTTTAATTTTAGGTCATTCGTTATTGGATAAACGTAAATACTCGACCGAAGAGAATTTAACATAAAGCTTGTAAATTTGAAGGTTAGCTAGTCGGAGTCGTTGACAAATCAAAACTATCGAAATACTCTTGCAAGTTGCTGTTACAATATATATTTAAATACGAATAACTTCAAGCCTAATTAATGATTCACTTCCTAGTTCCTTGAAATTCAAATGATTTTTTTTTTCTTTGCAGGTTTCGATCCCAATCAAGTTTTTGAAGCCTTCTTTGGCTCGGACTTTTTCGCATCTCAAAGCCACCACTACTACGACCAAGGCCAAGCCCAGCACCAGCACCAACAACAACAACCGCATTTTCAAAGCCAGTTCCAGGGGCCTCACCCAGGCTTCCAAGGGTTCCCTGGCGGCTTCCAGTATGGCTTCTAGTACAAGCGAGACTGGAAAGTTGATCATACTGCTTCTGTTCGACGTACTCTCACGACTTTCTCATTTTGTCATTAGGGATAAACTTATTTTACTACTTGTGCAAAGTCAACATTATTCCAAGTGCCCGTTTTCTGTCTGGTTCAATGAGCTACATTCTGTCTAAAAATTACACTAAAATCAACGTCAAACCTGCTATAACGCGCGTTCTAATTTTAACACGGAGGTCATTTTTAAATAGAGCGGTGCCTTGACTTCTCTACTGGTCTACCTGATAATTAATTGGTTTAATCGTAGCACTGGACTTTCTTTATGGGCCACATTACATCATTCATTACATTACAACGCAGATTCTTATTAACCCAACTTAACAAATCCGCTGTTAATCGGTGAAAGTTATCATTGAATGTTGTTATTCGTGACTTGCACATCGTCCCCAGCATCTTCCTTTGTATATCACTCACCGCCTGATACACGAGTCAATGTATTTCTTTACATTTACGTTTTATTTTTTCGTGTAAACTTCTTTGAAAGCTCTTTTTTAGAGTCTTTGTCTTGCTGTGTGCTGGTTTACCTGGATAGAGAATGGCGATTAGTGAAGAATCTTGTTTTATACTCCAGAATAATTCCTACAAATAAATAATTAAATCACGGATGTTTTAAATAAATACATGACTACAGGTCACCTAGCTGTAGAACTGTTGATACGTTGGGAGTGGGTTGCGTTAGGTTGGGTTGATGATGCATGTACTTGATATATATAGCTCTGTTCTAGTGACGCATGTAAATAATTAGAATGAAGGCAAGGTTCGAGATTAAGCGTTTGTTGTTGCGTTCATCTCATAAAATTCAAATAACCTTCTTTACATGGAAAAAAAAATTTCTTTGAAAATTGTCAAAACATCTCAATTGTTTTCTGTTTCTCAATGTTGACAAGCTCGATAATCGGAGATTAATTTTTGTCAAAATGGAATAATTTTGCTGAGAATCGATTTGAGGATGATTTAATACTCAGAAATTACTTTTGGACTGCTGTCTTCAATACATTTAAATTCTCTCCTTTGTTCGTTGATTTATCACACGCTTGTTAGAACAATAACGTGGAAATTGAATGACTGACTCTATAATTATGATGGCTTCGTAGTATTTATGACAGAAGCGAACCTAGCGTTGTAACTCCCTTCATGTTAATTGTTCGGGTGAATGGCAATGTTTAATCTTCTGTTGTTTATTCAATTGTTTTAATATTGTGTTGAGTCCTTTTCTGTTCGTTATCTGCTAGTTGAATTTAAGGGACGTGAATTCAGGATTATTTAATCTAATCAAACTTCGAGGCGTCAAGTGTCTATGTCTTCATGGATTGAAGTGAAGATATATTAGTCTTCGTTCAACATAACTCCCATGAGCAGATTCAGCAAAGACGTCATCTATCGTGCTAGAACGAACTATCTTTGTCCTTTTCCAGTTTCAATTGCGCTAAAAAGCATGAATGCGCTGACTATATAAAGTATCTAATAAGAATTTATTAATTTAGATTTTCATGAAGGCTAATGCAAAAGTTAGTGAGCTATCGCGTTTTATATCGTGCTAGTAATCATTTCTTTCGTTCCTAGTCCGTATATGGGATGACGATAATTGCTTTTTCCGTGGTACATACATGGAATTAGCACAGAATCTTTAAGTTGGTTATACATTAATGTCCAAGGTGTGAAAAACGATCGGGAATTAAGTTGCAGCACCACCAAAATTTTAGCTAACATTTGACCTTGAAGGATTTAAGTTAAAGAATATTCTGTGAATATGGATTACCGACCAGAAGCTTCCACTGGACCAGAGAGTATCTTGAGATTTTAAATACTTGGATGTTTCTCAAATACTCGCCTGCACGTATGATGTTTTGGCAATTAAGTATTACTGAATAAATATGCCTAAACTAAACTAAACTAAAACTAAACTAAAATATGCACCAATTCACCGACTAATTTAAACTTTTTCGCTGGTTCATGCCATATATCGTTGAGAAATATTTTGGTCATCTTTAAAATTCAACATTCTGCCCGGCACAGAACATACAAATACAATTCATGGTTGAACTAATATATATAGTTCAACCATGATAGTATGATACAATGGTAAATGGTTCTATGCCTTCCGTTATAGCCTCAAATGCCGCAAACGACTTCATCGCAGGGCTGATCCGAATAATGTTGTCTTCTTCTTATTATTTGTAAATAGTGTCATTTTTTTCGTACCTTCGCAGCTGAGAAAGATTAGGGTACAAAATAGTCCGTTAGAATCTCTTTGCTTCAGGTGTCTGTGTCGTCAAATAAGCATCTTTTGTTTTTTAGGCTCACATCTGTGCCGGCCGGCATCCTGTACTTACTCCATAAGAAGCCCACAATCACCATGATTAAAATTGTATTTGTTCCTGAGTAACTATTGCCCCTCTGCTATGACATCAGTGTTCTATTTTACAATGATTTGAATTGCAAATGGCCGCAGTTTACAGGGAATATTTAATAAAAGGGCATGAACTTGTGTAACAATATTTTAATCAGTTTGACTCATTACCTATCAAAGTACAGTAATAACGTTGAAGGGTGCGGTAATTGTTCCAATTTTTATTCCGCAGGTCTAATGGAAATTCTTACGCATAACTGAATTCAATTAGATATATGTAATGTAAAATCTTCATATTAAAAACGTATTTCAACCATTCTGTCTTTTCTTCATCAATCTGGATCCGCATGTATCTGTAGGTTCTAGGTTGCACCGTTGCATTGCTTGCTGAGTGCTTAGGTACTGTTTTCTGCTGAGTGCTCTCGGACGGCTCGGGCCCGCTCGGCCATCCGTGGCGGGCCAACTGATAATACAAAATTACTTCAGATATATCCCTGGTCCTGGTGTCATAGTCATTGCGATCCAGCTGCCTTCGACCCTTCGAAACCAGTCATCTTAGATCTTTCTCTCACATCGTTGTCAATTTTTACTGTTGGAGTGTTGGTCAGTAACAGTTGGTGCGCGGTGGCCCATAGTGGCAAAATGAAAATGGCAATGCAGAGTATGTTAGAGTTAGACAGTAGACACTTCCTCCGAGTTCATTTTTGAGTCCTCTAACGACTCAAAACGACTACGTAGGTGCACCGTACCGTCCGTACGCGGTACGGCCGCCTTTCACAAACGCATGCTCTGTAATATTTTCGTCTCATTGGCAAAGCAGATTGTTTACATATCCTATTGCAAAGCAGATTGTCTTCCTCTGTTTGTTCCTCATCCTCAGGCTCAACTTCCTCAAGTTCATTTTTGAGTCCTACTCCTATGAGAAGTATCCAGTAAAGTATGGATACCATACCAGATACCACCATTATCATGCATAAGAAATTGGCTGAAATTTTGAGTAGATGAAAACATGAAGAAATTAAAAACAAACCGATTCTAAAAAATTTCTGGTTTGCCACTGCAATTGTCATGATAGTGATTTTCTTTAGGTTAGCCTATATAAAACTAAAGAAGAACCTGGTCTAAGTGGTCTTATCACTCTTATGACATTTTGAACCAATCACTGCTTCTTTACGCTTACAGACCGACTGACCGAGCAGCGAGCGCCACACCAGCGCACCACACAACACACCTTACCCAATCCCAACACTCATTTAGAATAGAATAGAAGTGTCGGCGACTCGGCGTTGAAGAAATAGGCCCATGGCCTGGCCTTTAATACTGAAGAAAGGGGTGGTCTGACTGGTCTCACTCTCACTGTCAGTCCTGTCAGCTGATAGAAGCACTGGCTATTATTTTTTATTTTGAATACATTGATTTGAAATCCTATGCCCTGGTTTTGAGTTCTGAGGAGCCTAAATTTTTAATATGTATATGAAAAATTTAGGTTTCTGTATAGGTAGATTTTAATGCTGTTGACATTAAAAAATTTTGATGTTTGAATTATCTCTGATGCAAGAAATATTTGGTTTAAAAATTTTAATTTTGATAAAACCAACTGGATCCAAAACCTGGGTTGGGTAAACGCATCATATTCTGACACTGTGGGTAATTCTGACCATAGTGGCAAAGCAGAGAGTTTTTTAGACTCTCCCTCAAGTTCATTTTTGAGTCCTATATGTAGACCAATAAAGTATCCTGGATACCAGCATTATCATACATAAGAAATTGGTTTAAATCTTGAGTAAATGAGGAAATTAAAAATGAACTGATTCTAAAAAAGCTCTGGTTTGCCACTATGATTCTGACACCCCTTAACTTTTTCCTTTATATTAAGCTTGGTCTGACCGTCTGAGTTCCACCGTGGAACTAAGACTTATGACACCGCATTGAAGCTACAACAATGAGTCGGATGAGATATGTACCATTCAATTTGTAAAGAACATACCAATCGAGTAACGCAGTCTGATTTTTTATTTTTGCCTTAGTTTTTTTACACGCATCTCTCCGTTTTCTTCTCATTTTCTTCAAATTCCCTCCCCGGCTCCCTTCCCCCCCATTTTGAATCCAAACTATGCACAAATCTCAAAGAAGGGCTTCTTTACTTGATGGGTATGGTTTTTACAAATCAAATGGTATATGTCTCATCGCTGTAGCTTTAAAACTCTAGGAGGAGATAGGTTTGCCGTGACAAACTGACAATAAGTGTGAATGTTCAGTACAGCCCGACAAAATCCCGCACGCATTGCAATAGGCACTCAATGTAGCAAGGATACGAAACTAAACATTACTTGAGCTCAATTCCACTCAAGGATGGTGGCAGCAACTGCAGTCTGCATGCACACCTCTTTGTGCAAAGCCAGGCGGGTTACTGAGCTGTTCCTCAAGCTGGCACTGTATTTAAAGTGCCATGAACCGAATTAACTCCTATCTAATTTGTTTATACTCCTTTTCCTTTATAGTCAGTCTCCTGGCAAAGCACTGCATTGAAGGGAAGCTTTCTACCTTGGGTGGAAAGCTTTTTTTATAAGTGAACTTCCATTCTTAGAATTTTACCCTGCATAGATCAGATTGAGGATTTTGCATGATGTTGGCATATACCACACTCTCAGACTTTGCTGCATGTTGACTACAAGCCTTAAGTTTAGATTAAGTAAACCAGTAAGCTGTAAAGTATCATGGATAGATACCAACATTATCATGCATGAGAAATTTGTTTTATTGAGTAGATAAAGAAATTAAAAATGAACTGATTGTTTTTTAAGGACAATTTTCTGATTTCCCAAGCAGAAATGTGAAATTACCGTCAACCGGGGCTACTCGAGACGATTTCAAACGTCTTTCATTCATAACTTCTTACCATGAAACATTTCATAAACAAGTTTAGGCTCATTTCAAAGCTCTTTGCAAGGGCTATCACATAGCTTCTCTGAAAAAATTCTATATGCTATTCGTAGGGTGCCAGAAGCAAAAAAGAGTGTCCCGAGTAGCCCCGTCGAACAGAGCTACTCGGAACACTTGGAATAAAACTTCATTTTAAAACATTTGAAGCATGCAGAGTGTTCTCATCCATTACTAACAGTACTCTGAAGTCCTCCTCTTTTATTGTAGATGATGATGATGTAGAGGTAGAATAAATGACATTTTCTGTGATTTTGACTTGTTTTTCCTTTATTGATATGATATTACCATATACATTAATAACCATATTATTGATGCAATATTACCATATCCATGAACATGCCATTGAGCATTTACAACAACCTTGTCCACTGCAAGCTTCATATCAGCAGCCCTATAGCAAGTTTTCTGTATCTGTAAGCTTACAGGACGGCTTGTAATTTCACACCATTTTAATTGGGTTAAGTGAATTTACTATAAAAAAAGATTGTGAAAAATATACCTGAAACAGAAAAGAATGTTTTAGTGACAACCGTCATATGTTTTGGAGAAATAAATCATAGTTTAGGTCAATTACTTTTCATTCTATGATGCATGGTGCACAATTCTATGTATGACATTCTATGCACAATTTTGTGATGACCAATGATGCACTAATTTTTTGATAAATGAAATTTTTTTTGCTGAGCAAGGTAAATGTAATCAATATTCTTTGTTTTTAATCAATTTTTTTCGTAACTGGAGCCTTTGCTAACTGAGGTTCTACTGTAAATGCGTTTTTATGGGGGGGGGGCCAAATAGCCCCAGGGGGGTGTCCCGAGTAGCCCCGCCATGCGGAAATGGCTGTCATTTTATTTTTTTTTTTTTTTTATTGACATATGTAAATTCTGCAAATAAAGTTTTCATGCTGACACTTGTCTGCCACTATTTTTTAAGCAAAATTTTTTAATACGGCAAATATTTACAGACCTTAGAAGAAGTAACTTTTCAAAATATCGTTTTTCAACATTTTTTTCAGGAATTTTTCAAAGCTAGTAATTGTAGTATTTCTGAACTTCCTTTATACCACATAGATAGGAAAAATGTTGATGTTTACACCACTATATTTAGTTTTGCAATATTCCAATTAGTTTTGCTACTAAAGCAGTTTTACGCTGTGTTGGAGGACTGTCCCAAGTTACCCCGCCCGTTCCGAGTAGCCCCGGTTGACGGTATTCTTTTATTTTTATGAAAGAAATTAGGCTACAGGAACAGATAAAATTGACTGCAAATGTTGGCATTTTTGTTGTATTCATAGGTGTTTTTTAGACAATTTTTTAGAAGAGTTATTCAGTTGATTTGTGAATTAAAACAATTAAAGAAATTAAAGTTCACATATTTATTATATGGCAATGAGGTATTTGGTAATAATAACCAATTGTTACAATAATGCTAAAGAATCCTAAAAATTATTCATTCTTTTCAGAATATTCCTTTACAGTAGTATCCTTATTTGAGTGATTGATTTAAGAGCATTGCTCCTTATCTCATTATGTCTGATCAATGTAAGTAATCTAAGTGCTATGTGTGATTTTTTAGTTATTTTTCTATCTTTCAGATCATAAAATACTCTCATGTTCTTGTATTAGGAAATTAATGACCTGCAATTTTCTTCTTGATGTAGGTATTCTGTCTATACTTTACCCATGAAGTTTTTGAATTTAGTATACTATATTCTTATTAATCTAAATTTGAATTTTTTCAGTGGTTCTTGTGACTGGGGCAAGTGGCTACATTGCCTGCCATGTGGTAAAGCTGCTGCAGGAGACAGGCTATCGCGTCAGAGGCACAGTTCGTACGTAGTCTGAAGAACTCATCTCGTGTTGACCCTCTCAAAAAGCTGGTTTCTAACCCCAAGCACCCTTTGGAATTAACAGAAGCAGATTTGGAGAGTGATGATGGCTGGGATAAGTATGTTTGTACTTTATGGGAGATTATAATTAGATTATAAGAACTTATTATAATTTCAGCTATGATTAGCTTGGATATATTCTTTCAATATTTTATGCTCATTTTTAGCGCATTTTCTCATTTATGAAAAAAATGCACTATTGTGCTCGCCATGTTTGTCTGTCTGTCCGTCTGTCTGTCCGTCCGTTTGTCTGTCTGTCCGTGACTTCACGTTTTCATCTGTGAGAAAATACGCTCTTTGTCACTCACTGCAGTGAGTACCTACTGAGTTTTATTTTTTATTCATTTTCACTAGTCTTGGCCTTTATTCATCTTGTGGCTTCACTCTGAATCTCTCCTACTGCACTGGCATGTGTACAAACGTTTTTGTTAGAATTTTTATCTTTTTAAATTGAATTGTAATGTTTACAGAGCCATGGAAGGTGTGTATGCAGTGATGCACACTGCCAGTCCATTCCCTCCAGTGGGGGAGTCACCATCCGAGCAGAGTCTAGTCAAACCAGCAGTTGAAGGAACTAAGCGTGTTCTGAGTGCCGCAGCTAAAGCTGGCATCAAGAAAGTTGTCGTAACGTCTTCATTTGCTGCAGTATCTGGTGTGTGTTGATACATGTGCATTGAATGTAAATCAAAATTTACAATCATGTTGATGGATGAATATTCAATTGCTTAATTTAAATGACATTGTATGAAATCACATACAATTGTGTTGTGCACAAATATTTTGAGTTGTGCTCTGTTATTACTGGTAGCATCAGTGAAAAATCATGCTGTAAAATAATTTAAATCAATGTTGGAGACTCATTTTGAGCTTTTTTCCTTGATTAATCGAAGAGTGAATTTCAGCCACATGAGTGATGTGTATTGATTTTACTGGACATTATAGTTTAGGTTTCACTCAATTATATGCATAATTCAATTTTCTCATTGTCATACATGAATTTTGTATAAATTTTAAACAAACTAGAAGTATTAGCTAAATGCTGGAAATAATCATCAATCTTTTGTTACAGCATCTTATAATTTTGCCTGAAAATTACATGAATGGTCATTTAATCAATGATACTAGTAGAAGTCCACGTTATGTTCATCAGACTCACAATTTTGCATTTTGCTATAATATTATAATAGAAATATGGTGATACTGTGCTTTTAATGTACAATTCCAGAACTTAATTGTTAATTCGTATGATTAGAGAATGGCGCTTGATTAGAGAATGGCGTCCTACTTCTACTTTATCTCTAACTTTTCTTTTAGTCTTGATGTAGTGATTGCAACCGAAACTATGTTTATCGATATAAGGGGTTGCGTCGATAGTTTGTATAGTTATTTCAAGACAACTAGTTATTTCGACACCTGTATTGATCTCATCAATCGTATGGATGAACTTTACTCTCGATAGAGTTTTTAAATAAACATCTTAAAAAAATTACTGTCAGGTTTCTAGCACGAGGGTCGGCGCGTTGAAAAAGTTCTCACGCTGGCAGCTAGACGACGAATTGACAAGGGAAAAGATACAAACATTTATCAGTTCAACACTTATATACTTAAGGACAGGAAATCCTACTCTAGTACAGGACTGGCGTTCGAGCTAGATATTATCTCCTAACAGGCACGACATGGTTACTTGAGGCTAACACAGCGAGAACAATTTAAGGGGGGCTAACATGAGAATGATATTACTTCAATCGGTTCAAAAGGGGTTACATCACCGAGCTTGTTGAGACGTTCTGGTCCCAAGTGAAGCTGCAGGCTGCCTGTCTGTTGTCGTAGTAACGACAGTAACGTTCCCTTCGCGATCGTGACTTCGGCAGTCGTCGAAAACCCGGGGATGAAATCAGTTGCCCGGTACAGGACTAGGACATGAGTATTCTCACGGTCGGTGGTTCTTCTTTCAGGTTCTCTGTAGTTCTTCGATATCGGCCTCAGATAATCAGGTCAACGGCAGTCTGTCGTGGTTCCTGTGCTCGGGGGTGTCGAGCTCGTCGTTCAGTTTCCTTCTCGTGGCAGTACGAACGTGAAACGGTGGCAATTCGTCGCGGTGACTTGCGAAACTCGATACCGGATTAAGCTTACTTGTGAAAGTGGACCTCGGTGACAATCAATGGCAATCGTATACAAGGCTCACGATGTTCGTCTTGGTTCTCACAACTATCTTCTTCGTCGCAGCCACTTTACACTTGCGTCAACGATACGTCCGACTGCCTCTAACACCGCGACGGGACTAACTCGCGGTCGGCCCGCTCTCTCTCTCTGAAATACTCCGCCGGTCTCGCGCAAGCGCTCTAGCTAGACGGTTCGAGCTCCTCCCTCGAAATCCCGAGTTTATGTCTAATCATCAATCCCTTATTTTATGTAAAATTTATTCCTATTCCTAATCACGTAGACTTTTTCATTAGCGGACCCTGCTCCTGCTGACCCAAGTAAGAAGTTTGATGAAGAAGACTGGACTGACACCAGCAACCCAGCAGTCACATCTTATTCCAAGTCTAAAACTCTTGCTGAAAGAGCAGCTTGGGACTTGCTTGAGTCATTACCAGGTGAGCTGTTTACTTTAAGCTTGTTTTAAACCTCCAGCTTTGCTTTTCACTGTCTGAATTTTATGATATGAAACACAATGAAAAAGCAACAATTTTCATTTATAAAGAACTTTAAAATATTGGGTATTTTTATCTGTACGGTAAATCAAATAAGAATGTGGATATGATCCATGATATAAGTTGAAAATCAAGATGGCAACTTCCCTTGCCACTCTTGGTAGTGAGTGTTTAATTACATACTTATGGTTTTAGAGGATCAGCGGTTTGAACTGTCGACGGTGAACCCTGTGCTGGTGATGGGCCCGCCTCTCGTGGAGTCTAACAAGTCTGCTACATCAGTGATCATCCTGAGGGACGCCATCATGGCCAAGGTGCCTGGCTCTCCCAAACTGTGCTTCCCAATCTGTGATGTGAGGGACGTCGCTCTAGCGCATCTCAAGGTGAGTCATCTATATAATTAGATTTTGAAGTATTTTTCATGTTTTTGATGATATAATCAGACATTCTCGAGCTTCAAATATCGACATTCATCATTAGTTGAATCTATATTTGAGTTCCATTTGTAATATTTTTCAACCGTATGGTGTATACTTTATTATAAAATATTGGTAGATGCACTTGAACCTTGAAATTTTAAATCTATATAATTATTAAATTATCTGTTTGAAGATGAGCCATGTTGTTGAAGCAATACTTTTCACTCGTTCACACCACATATTTCCACTATAAATCGGTTCAATTTCAGTGCTTGACAAACCCCGAAGCAGTTGGCAAACGTCACATCATTTCTTCTGGAGGAATCTGGATGAAAGATATGAACCAAATACTTGCGGACGAGTTCAAACCTCAGAACTACAAAGTTTGTACCAGAGAACTGCCAAACTTTGCCATCTGGCTCGCCTCGATTTTCAACGAGAGTGTCAGGAAGGAAGTCTACCCACGCCTTGGCTCTTTGTTTGAGATCAACAACTCCAGGGTTAGTAAGTGGTAAAGCCCCCACCTTACTTGCTCCATGGAAATGTTTTCTGACCTTTTGGAATATTGGATTATTTTTCCTATTAAAAAAAGTTCTTAATTAATATTACTTGCTCAATTTTGTGAATTTTCTTTATTTATTTATTTTTTTTTTCATGGGACGAAAAAGTTTTTCATGACCAAAAGATATGTGTTAAGTCATCAAGACGCGTATAAATGCACTGGATAATTTTGATTTTTGTTTGTTCAAGATGAAGAACGTGCTGGGCATCGAACCCACGTCCCAGAAAGACTCTATCCTTGACATGGCCTACGCTATGATCGAGCTCGGCATCGTGGCAAAAACCAGCGCTTACAAAGGCGTAAGAATTTCAGCAATTTTATCTTTTCCATTAATTATATTTAGAAGCCTAAATTTTCACCTCTCTCCAAGCAGTATTATGTATTCATCCTTTGTACCTTTGTAAAAGTGTGATTGTCCCTGAATTTGTTCTTAATAGTTCTGCGTACAGGTAACCCCTTTATATTCTATCATTCATCTGATCCTAAAACATAAAAATTACTTTTGCAATCAACTGGATAATGTCTTGAACGTAAGAGCGTAACTAACAGCATAGCAAGTTCTGCGTTTCAGACAATCCCCATTATATTCCATCATTTATCTGATCTGCAAGCAGAAAAATCACTTTTGCTATAAACTTGATAATGTCTCGAATGTAAGCGTGTAACTCAGAGCTTAGCAAGGAGTGAGACATAAGTAATAGTTGAAGGTATATTCGAATATGAGCTGCATTGTACTTAAATACATACAACCTCGATACTAATCTGCTACTGAGTTGCCACATTGTAAACTTACACCCTAGTTGAGGGATACTACACATTATAATGCTATTTTGAAAGGTATTTTTTAATATATATGTTAATTTTGTGCAGCCAAAGTTCAGCGAGAAGCAATCATCAGGATCTGCAGGAAGCGGTGAGAATTTACGCTTTTATTTGTATACCTATAAATATATAGTATCGTATTTGTTGGACAAAGTAAAAGGGTACTTGAATTATCATGAATAAATTTATTGTATAGGCAGCTGTTGGGTGATTAAAGCAGGTAGTGTCTTTAAATGTGTCGTGTTGACTTGAGTGAATAGTAGTTCACATCAAAAATAATTTGAGAGCAAGCAAACATGTCCAAAATATGATATAATATTATTATATAAAAAAGAAAAGTATGTGATGTATAATAATGTGCTCTGAATATAATATTTTTCTCTGAACTTTTGTGATGGCGTGCAATAGAGCTTTGCACACGATGGCTGTGTGCAATTATATTAATTGATTTCCTGGGTATTTCTCTTCCATGCAGCAGATGTCATGGCTGTCACAGACTTGTGAAGGTTTTCATAAGGTGCGCTATCGGCGGTAGTTTTGTCCTGCCTTATTTGACATATAGTATTGTTGAGAAATTGATGCAATAATCTATCAATATTGAATATTATAACCATCTTGATGTTTTCTATTCACAACATTTCTGTAAAGCATTGAGCTTGGGCATTGTGTTTGGATCCCAGAATGAAACTTCTCTTGGGGATGAATTTCTCATCTCATTTGTGACTGTCGAGTTCAAGTTACGGTGTGGTCTCTGTTAGAGATGGACATAGTGTTCAGCTCCCACCAGGGTTGGCAGTGATTAAATCAAAATGATTAAATCATGTGATTAAATCACTTGATTTTTTTATAAAAAAATCATGATTTTTTTTATTTTTTCGATTTTTTTGATTTTTTTGATTTTTTCATATATTTAAATATATTGAGTGGCAG